TCCACGCTAAGGACCACCACGCGCAGAGGGAAGTCAGCGATTATCTTCTCGAACGCACACTGAAAGTCATCTTCGCGCCTGACTCCCGAAAAAAGGTGCAACACAAACATGACGCGCTGCGGCACTGGTTTCGCAATGGTGAAGCTCAAGGGGGTCAGGGGCGGAAGGTCAGCAAGAGGGGCAGTGGGAGGAGCAACCAGAGGAGGGACGACCATCAACTTAGGCGCAATGGGGGGCCCGTAACACTGAACAGGCGTCTTCTGAGCATAGGTCTCAGACCGTCCAGCCTTGCGATTGCTACTCATCTCATCCCTAGTGGCCAAACGCTGCTCTTCAATTTCCTCGGGGGTGGGCCGAAGATGAGAACCTCGCCAAGAGGCCAGACAATGCTTGGCACGATGAAGGTGTTTGACCAACCTGGCCCCGGTCCAGAAGTTTTTGAGGCAAATCTGACAGGTGGTCCCGACCGCGAGCCTGGCAGGGGAGTCGGGCGACGGATGGAACTTGCTGCGATGCGAGTTCAAGGCTCGCGCACTGGGCGCGAGATGACCACGCTCATAGCATAAGAACTGTCGAGCCTGATTGGGGGCGGGGTCGTGGTTATCAGAAGCCCCACTGTCATGCGCGCGAACAGACTGAGCGAGTGGGGTCCCCTCACTAATCTCGCAAAGCCTCTTTTCCCAGCGGTAGCGATCATCATTGTCTCGGGCCTCTCTATTAGCCCTCTCAACGGCCACGTTGACGGCCGCAGTGAACGCACTGGGGCAGCTTCGAGCCAACTCAAGCCAAGAAGGGGGCACCTGCTCAGGGTCAGTAAACTGATGCAGCCAGTCAAAGTCGGCCCTAATAAGTTCCCCCCAACCTCCAGGCAGGTCCCAGGCAATATCGAGACACACACGCAAGATGGGAGGTGTGCCTCAGAGCACTTTGACAAGATGACGCAAGCGAGCAATGCGCACCACAACGCCCCAGGGCAGTCTACCCACCCGGCCAAGGATGTCCACATATGATTGTTTTTGCTCATCATTATTACTGCGAGCCCAGGCCAGGGCAGTGCGATACATACTCTCGTGAGTAGCATGGACACGGGCGACCAGAGAGGCGTTGAGCTTCGGCCAAGTGGCCGATGACAAGAAAAGCTTAGGAGAGGTGTAGGCTTCAGCAATCATAACCTTAGAGTGCAAAGGAAGAAGAGCGCGCGGGGCAACCGTCTCTCGGATGGGTGCAAGAGTAGCGCGGGCGGAGGTACACCTGGCAACAATCTCCCTGTGCATAGAACCGTTTACAGCAACAATGGAGCCCAGACACCGGTGAGCTTGGCCAATCTTGACTTTGAAGCCCCATTTTTCAGAGACCATGGTCGGCCAAACGCCAGGCTCAAGTTGTACGGAAGCCCCGGGCTCGGAAAATGGCGGCTCAGAGAATTCTAAACCTTCCGCCCGCCCCTGGGGAGAGACGGCACCACTCTCGGGTTTAGAAGGTATCTCATCATTGCCAGCAAGCCGGAGGGCGTCATCATCGCCTATGACCATATGTCTCTGAAGCCAAGCTAAAACCTTCCGAGAAAACTTGCCCCGGAACTCCGCCAAAACCCAGGTTTTACTCATGTTGATGCGCAGGCCATGCCGAGCAGCAGACTCAAATATGGCTTCTAGAGTGGCACGAGAGCGAGCAAGCAGCAAGCGAGAGTCGACGCTATGGACCATAGAGCTCAGGTCGTCGACAAAAGAGACCGAGGAGAGCTGCTGTCCCCAATCATCAGGCTCCGAAAAGTGACATGGGACTGGGGTCGGGTCCCAAAGAAGGTCTTGGGTCTTAAGAGAGTCCTCCACCCCCTGCTGGACAGAGCTGAAAACCTGGTTGAAGGCATCCGTCGCCATGACCGCACCCGGCCGAGACCCCGTGCCTGGTTCAACGAAGAGTTGGGTGTCCTTTAGCTTCCAAAACCCCCCAAGCTGAGTTTCTCTGACCAAGGCGGCCAAGTGTTCGGGGGGGTGGGACCGCTCAAAGACAGGGGTGGTGGCAAGCTGCGCCTTAGCCCCCTCAATCAAGAGTTCAGGCAGGTCGAGTTGATCCAAGATGGCCTCCAACTCTTCAGCATCCGTGGGGAGCTGAAAGGCGAAGCGGAGGAGGGCAGAATAGAAAGCGTTGGTGAGGTCGATACAGACAATAGCCGAAGAAAGCTTAAGCACTCGCATGGCATCAACGTGAGAGCGAAGCATGTGAATAGCAGCATCCGTCCCTCTACCAGGGATGCCCCCAACCTGAGCGCACATGAGAGCAGCAGCGAAAAAGTCCATGGCCAAACCTTTGACGAAACGATGGTGACATTTGGCGATAGCGTTAGCAAGAAGAATGCTCCTCTGAGCCTTCTTGGTGCCCATGTCCCCTGACCCCTTGTAGAAATAGCACACCCTGGCATCTTTGAACCCCAGGGGCTCACGGCCACAGATGGCAACTTTGAAACAGACGGGAGTGATGTGCCTTGAGACGGCTCGAGGGGCGATGCGGCCAAAGTCCCCCAACACACCGTCGGGGCCCGCAGCCCTCCAGGGGGAGACCCGAGTGAGCAAACGCTCCGAATCATACACGGAGGGGAGGCAAGTAAGGTCCCTGGGGACATGGTCGCCCAAGGTAGGTGGGGTGTGATTGTAAGAGTCAATTATTTTATCACTGTCAACCTGCACGCCAGCTTCAACCGAACAGAAGTGCTCTTGCATATGGCGGGCAACCGCCTGACTGGAGGCAAGAACTTCCCCCTTGTCGTCTTTCATGAGGGGGAAGGTGGCAGGTTTTTTGGCCCCCCGACCTCCGAAACGTAAAAGCACGTCCAAGTTGCGCCACTGATCAGAGTGCATGCGAGCGTCGGCACAGACGACAAGATCAAGAGCAATGGCATCAAGATGGTGCGTGCGCTCTCTCTCAAGCTCGGCGAGAAAGATGGACTCAGTTACCCGAAGAAATTCGATAATGGCCATGGGCAGAAAAGCGAGGTGCTGAGTGTCACGTAGGGATAGATGGGCAGAACGACGCAGGTCCAGAGCATGCTCAGCCCAGGGGGAGAGGGGAAAGGAAGACGCTAACTTGTAGAGATCTCCGGTGACCACACGCTTAGCGAAAGCAGCAATCGCTTGATCTTGCTTGTGGGTGCCACCTCCTTTCCATCGCCTCAAAACTCTGCGGCACCCTCGCCGCCACCGCAGCAGGGCATGAGTGGCAGTGGTCATGAAAGGTTTCCTGGGCCTGTTGGGATCGGCCGCAAAGTGGGCCTCCGCAGCTTGTCGAAGCGTTCCAGCCGTGGCAACAAGGTGGTCGTTCAGACCAGTTTCCCAGGAAGGGAGGGCACGAGCATTGAGATCGGCCTCAAAATCGGCCACAAGGGCCGCGTCTTGCATCTTTCTCTTGTCAAGTTTTTTGGTGGCCGACCTAGGAACCGAGCAGTTCTGCTTCCAAGCAAAGTCCGCAATCACAGGGAGGTGGTCCGTTTGAGACGACACATTGTCAAAACACTTGTCCACGTGGACTCCTGCCAGATGCGGGGTGTGAGCAAGTCCGCACAGAACATAGTCAATGCGGTGCCACCCAGCGTCTTCGTGCTCAGAGGTCTGGGGGGCCTGCCAGGTACCCTGGGACGGGTCGCTAGAAATCACCGTGCTGGTGGCAGTGAGCTCACACTCTGACAGGAGCTCGTGCATATGTTCTCCTGGCTTGTCCTGGACCTCAACCTTGCCCTCCTGGCCCACCCATTGAGAAAGCTCAGAGCCTAACCTAGCATTGGCATCGACACATGCAAAGTCGGGTGGGTGCCTGGCAAACTTACGCCCGAGGGACTTCCAGAAGTCAGCGATATGGGCGGCAGGATAGCCAGAGTGGGGAGCATGGACGACAGAGAGGGTAGCCTGGAGATAGGAGGCCTGCACCGACACAGTGAGATGCCTCGAGCTGGCGCTCAACACACGCAGGTCCTGGGGCTGAAGGTAGACTGGCCTCTGCTTGACCCAAGCATGAGGTTGCGCCAGATTGGCCCAGAGCTCAACCCCCAAGCCGCAGTCGTCTTTTCCAGAGGAAAGAACAAACCAGGCCCCAGCCTTCCGAGCGCGTCGTTTGGTCCTGGCCTCTTGGAGGCCGACGAAAATGGCACCTTTGTCCTGGAACTGCTTCTTGGTAGCTGCGTTTTTCATGGCTTTATAGAGACTCCGCCTGCCTTTGCCGATCTCCTCTGTGAGGGATCTGGCATTGTATTGACAAATCCTCAGTCTGATTTCAGCCTGCTGCTGAATGGCTGGGGGGTCCGAGGGAAGATGCTCAGCGTAGGCAGAGAGATCAGGAAGCGGCGCGACAAAACCCTCTTCAGACCGTGGGGGGTAAGCGGCAGCGTCGGCAGGGGCGAGAGAGAGCCAGTCCCAATCCCTAGACCTGGCATACAAGGTGAGATCCACTAGCTGAGCGTCGAAGGGCGTGAGTGGCAGACTTTCTGCACTGGCCTCTTTGGCTACAGCATCAACAAATTCGTTCCACGGATTAAGATTGTGGGCTTTGACATGTGTCAGAGTGACCTGGCGCTCCGCCCGGCACAGATCCCAGAGAATTCTGACAAGTCTGGCAACGTGGTTGTCGTTAGAGACTGTGGCAGTGCCGTTGAGAAAATCAACAGCTGACTTCGAATCACTAAGTATGGCAACAGGACCCAAGCACGCGTCACTGACGACGTCAACGAGGACCCAAAAGAGAGCAACATATTCGGCACAAGTGCTGGTGCCCGCGACTCGGGTGCGGCAGGTGTCTTGGAGACGTCCCGCCCAGAAACCAAGGTAGGCCTGTCCCTCAGAGTCCTCACCTATTTTAACAACACCCCAGCCCCCCAAGTCCTCACACCCAGGCTTGACTGACCCGTCAGAGTAGTACCAAATCTTATCCCACTGACTGGCACGAGGAGGACAGAGAGAGAGCGCCATTTCTGCGATGGGTGGCAGAGAGCGCGGGATGGTAATGGGATCAAA